CCTCGGCTCCTCCTCTTAACAGGCCCTCGCTGTGCTGGCTGCTGCCACCACTCAGCTCCCTGCAGCCTCAGTGCCCCGGAGGGCCGGACAACAGTCCTCACGCGGTTGTGGTTTTGTCTGCAGGTGAAATCCCTAAGGGCTCTGCCGCGCGCTCCAGCCTTGTGACCCTTGCCTTCCAGGAGCCATGCAAGAAGCGAAGCCACCAGAGGTCCTTAAAGCAGCAGGAAGGATGGGCCTGCCCCCCTTTCGTGCAGCTGCCTCTCTGCTGAGGAATCCCAGCCCTGCTCCTCCTCTCCTGCGGGGGTCAAGAAGGAGTCAGATGTGGCCAGCGGGGCGGGGCGGAAGGCGGGGGCCTCCCCTACACTTACAGACACCAGCCCAGCCCCCTGCCCAGCACGAAGCAAAACATGCTGATCACTAGGCAAAACGCGCGTAGCTTGTAGAGGACCTGGGGCGCTGCTTGTGAAAGCCCCGGGGGCACGGGACCCGCAGCCGCACATCTGCCCCAGCAGCTAACCTCCGTCAACTCAGGGGAACCAGGACCCTGCTTCCCACGATGGGCATATGGTCCGGACACTGGAGCTGCTCGGCAGACCCAGAAGCACAGGCGGAGCAGCGGTGCCCTGCTGGGCAGTGGGCTCAGCAGCACTCAGAGCCGCGCCTGCCCGGCCAGCTCAGCTGGTCCCAGGCCACCGGGCATCCGCCCGCACAGCAGCGGTGCGTCCTTTCAATCCTCACAGTGGAAGGGGCGACTCCCGGATACCACCTCACGCTTAGCCAGCACCCTCCTTTATTCTCCCGTGATCTCCAAAGTGTGCCGGCCTCACGCTGGAAATGCTGTCCCGCTATCACCGTGTTTCCCTCCGGGGACTGGGGCACATGGCCAGGCCAAGCCATTGAAAGTCTGTGTAAAGCAAACCAGTGACCTTCGTAGGTGGCACGGGAGAGACGGTTGTGCTAAAGCCTGCCTAGCTGTCTCCGCGGTGCTTCAGAACGTGTGTATGTGTGTATAGCTGTATGATATGTATTTATATATGTTGCTATAGCGACAGATTGAAGGCTGACATGACTGGTGGACAGGATCTGTGGGAGGAAATGAAACCTTTTTTTCGGGGGGCTATTAGAGCAAAACGTGCATAAAGAAATAAAAGGTTTTCTTCGCCCGCTTTGTCTCCAGTGTCTGCCTCAGTCTCTAGGCTGCATGTGTAAGGGCAGGAAGTACAAACAGTTCCTGACACATGTGATAGATTATTAATAGATATTGATTGAATACATGAATGGAGCAAGAGGGATATAGGGAAGTATGGCCTTTATGGCCACACAGACCTGGGCTTGCATCCTGTTTCTGTTACTTAAGAGCCTTGTAGTTCGGCAGGTTATTTTCTCGTTGAGCCTGAGTTTTCTCATCTGTAAAATGGGGAGGTTGTGGAATGAGTAAATGAGGCTGTACGGAAAGCGCTTGGCACAATACCTCACGTACACTGGGCAGTGAATGGCTACTTGATCTTATGATCAACGTATTGATCAACAAGGCTACAAAAGCGGATCTGACATAAATTCTGGCCTTGTTGAGCTTGCAGACAGGGAGGGCAAGAAAAAACCTGCACAACTCACCATAATACAAGGTAGGACACATGTGCTGCCTGAAAGTGCTGTGGTATTTGGAGGAGGGGAATGAAGTTAGGGATGACAGGAAGCAGGATTTTAAAATGAATTATATTCATAAGAACAAAGGAAACCCAAAGCTAGTGGAAGGAAGGAAATAAGAAAGATCACACCCTTCGGATGCCTATCTCCCTACCCCCCCCCCCCCCCCAAATAATCAAACTACGGTGTTGGCGATAGTATGGAGAAATTGTACCCGTGTGCACTGCTAGTGGGAATGCAAAGTGGTGCAGCCGTGGAATACAGCATGGAGTTTCTTCAGAAAATTGATAATAGAACTGCATCATCCTGCGGATCTGCTTCTGGGTGTGTTGAAAGAAGATATATTTGCACACGCACGTCCATAGCATAATTGCTCTCAGTGGCTAAAATGTGGAAGCAACCGAGTGTCTACAGATGGATGAATGGATAAACAAAATGTGATACATGTAGACAATGAAATATCATTCAGCCATTTATTTATTCATTTTTTAAAATATATTTTATTGATTTTTTACAGAGAGGAAGGGAGAGAGATAGAGAGTTAGAAACATCGATGAGAGAGAAACATCGATCAGCCGCCTCCTGCACATCTCCCACTGGGGATGTGCCCGCAACCCAGGTACATGCCCCTGACCGGAATCGAACCCGGGACCTTTCAGTCCGCAAGCCGACGCTCTATCCACTGAGCCAAACCGGTTTCGGCTATTTATTCATTTTTTAAAATATATTTTTGTTGATTTGAGGGAGAGGGAGAGTGATAGATAGAAACATCGATAAGAGAGAAACATCTATTGGCTGCCTCCTGCATGCCCCCTGCAACTTGGGCATGTGCCCTGACCAGGAATCGAACCATGACTTCTGGTTCATGGGTCGATGCTCAACCGCTGGGCCACACCGGCCGGGCTCATTCAGCCTTTTAAAAAAAGAAATACATTTCTGATACATGCTACTACATGGAGGAGCCTTGAAGACATGCTTAAGACATGTGAAGGAAGCCAATCACAAAAGGACAAAAGTAAGGGCAGAAGGGGATGGTGGATAATGAAAACATGAAGTCGGTGGATTTGTGGTTGACGGTGTTGGAAAGTTAGGAGTAGGCATCCTAGAGCAGTGATGGCGAACCTATGACACACGTGTCAGAGGTGACACGCGAACTCAATTTTTGGTTGATTTTTCTTTGTTAAATGGCATTTAAATATATCAAATAAATATCAAAAATATCTTTGTTTTACTATGGTTGCAAATATCAAAAAATTTCTATCTGTGACACGGCTCCAGAGTTAAGTTAGGGTTTTTAAAATGCTGACACACCGAGCTCAAAAGGTTCGCCATCACTGTCCTAGAGTAAGCGTTCTGGGAAGATGAAAAGAATGAATGGGAGAGTGAGGTGTCAAGCGTCATATCTTGGGGGTAGTGTGCTGCTTGTCCTATGGCAAGGTCCAAGGCGTGATGGTGAGAGTGGGCCTTAGTGTGTGGTGAGGAAAGAGTTCCAAGTGAGGAGGGGCAGGATTTGAGCGGTCACTGCTGGGGGGTTTCCACGTGGAAGCTGAAGTCACAGAGCAGGGGTGAGGGAGAGACGGAACAAGGCGCTCAATGTCTTGGTGGTGGCCGGTCTGAGGGTGAGTACCGGTGATACAGCGATGGCAACTGCTCCCGAGGCGCGGGGGCTCCTGCAGGGGAAAGGAGAGAGGGTCTGGATACATTGGTGGGGGCGAGGAGGCGAGCTCCCCACCTGCAGGCTGTTGTTCCCTAGTTGGTGAGTGGGGCGGAAACACCTGTTTCCGATGGAGGGGAGGCTGGGAAGGTGGACGTCCCCAAAGGCCCAGAGGACTCAGGGGTGATACAATAGTATGGGGATGAGTTACAAAACTTGTCAATCGTTTGGGAAATCCAACTATTGGAAGTACACAGGCTCCTGCATAGAGAGGCACAGAGATGCTCTGTTAAACGAGGGATGGTTGCGCCAAGTCCTCCAGGACCCGGCTCCAGGCTTCCTTAACTCAGGGCCCTCACCCCCCAGAGCTGTGGTTGGGCCTGGGCTGCCTCCCACACTACAAGGCACCGCCATGTTTCTCAGCCCCAGCGAGGCAGCGCCCTTAGAAGGAAGTGCTTTGTGCCCACCTTCTCTCCTTTCCGCGCCCCACAGGGCGGGCGGGTGATGGGAGACAGTTTGACTGTGTGGGTGGTTGAGTTCCCTGGGGGACATCAGAGCCACCAGGCAGAAGGCATCCGAGCTGTGTGGCCGGAGGGGCTCCTGGAGCAGATCCGCCCTCACGTCTGGGAAGTGATGGGAAAGAGGTAAGTGCTCCCTCGTTTGGGTCCTAAATGCTATGCAGGGGGTAGGGGGGTTAGGGTTAGGGGGTCCAAGTTCTGGGTCTGAACCTATGCCAATTGCATGCTCGTTTATTTGTGCCACCTTCATGGGGTCACGTACGCCGCCATTTAGAAACCTACAGTCTCCCCCCTGCCTCAATCAAGATTCATTGGGAAAATGTGGGAAAGGCTGCGTAATTAAGTTCAGGTTTGCCATGACTTCTTTACCACCTGAGGGCTTAGCCAGCGAAGGTTAGTGGTGAGCCCACCGACACTGGAATGAAAAAAAAAAGACTGAAAAGTACCACGTCTCTGTCCTGGTTTTGAGTCCCGTGTGGGGCGCCGTCTGTGCCAGGTGCCCTTCTGCTCTGTTCGGGAGAACGGCTCTTAGCATTTCCTTGTTTCGGGGTGAATTCCGCTGTTCCCCAAGCAACAAGGAGACACCGCAATATAATTCCAGGCTTGAATGAAGCGCACATCAGGGGCAGCTCCCAAAATAAACACGTTGCCATTGAAATGTGTTGCAGGCATCTACACCGAGCATGTCAAACTCGCGGCTGGTGGGCCGCATGCCTCGTTTATTTGGTCCGTGTTAGCCTTTGAGTTTGATAGGCTAGAATAGGTCTACACCAAAGCCTTACATTTCATTTATTTAGTAAAAAACATGTTTTTATTGCTTTCAGACAGGAAGGAAGAGGGAGAGAACCATCGATCGGCTGCCTCCCGCACGTCCCTCACTGGGGATCACGCCCCCTACTGGGGATGGCCTCCTGGTTCATAGGTCAGCGCTCAACCACTGAGCCACAGCAGCCAGGCCAAAGCCTTCCATTTTTAAAAAGGTTACCTTCACTGTTCCGAAATGGGGTTCGTGGGGATTGGGATTGACTAACTCCTGCCAGGGCAAACCCGTTTGGCTGCTTCTGTAATGGGCACTTTAAGGGGTGGCACCAGCCAACACCCCCACCCCCCACCCCCCCGTGCAGCCTGCGGGTGAACACAGCCGGGCAGGTTCAACTAGGGTTCACTTAGGTCAGAGACAGAGGACTAGTCCCTCCTTGGAAAACAAATAACACAGCTGTAAGTGCCTGGAATCAAAGGCCACACAGACCCTCATCGGATCCGCCTCCTAGCTGGCCCGGGTCAGTGATGCACTTGTAAGGTGGGAAGTGGCGGGTGGGACAGGAGGGAGCAGGAGACTCCGCTAGAAGCCAGGTCCAGAGGGTGCATGAACTTGGGGTTGGGGAGAGGGGAGGTAGAAAGGCTTTGTTTTGTAGCCTACCTGTGCTCAACTCTTGGTCACAAGTGGCTGCTTGGTTCTGGTCCGCTGCTCCCAGACCTGTCCCGGGTCCTCCAGCCTTGCACCCAGGAACCCCATAAAATGAACTTTGGGGAAATGCTCTTAGTTTTTGCTGAGTAGGAGGTTGGCTGTGGGTTTGTCATGTATGGCCTTATTTTTGTATTTCAAATTTTTATTGTTGAAAGTATTACATATGGCTCCCTTTTTCCCCCATTGACCTTCTCTAGCCCGTCCCCTATGGCCTTTATTATGTTGAGTTATGATCCCTCTAGTCCCATAGTGGGTGCTGGATTTTGTCGAATGTTTTTTCTGCATCTATTGATATGATCATGTGATTTTTATCCTTTGTTTATGCGATGTATCACATTTATTTATTTGTGAATATTGTACTAGCCTTGCATCCCTAGACTAAATCTCACTTGGTCATGGTGTATGATCTTTTTGATGTGTTGCTGGGTGCGATTTGCTAGTATTTCGTTGAGGATTTTAGCACCCATGTTCATCAGGGATATTGACCTATGAGTTCCTTTGTGTTGTCTTTATCTGGTTTTGGAATTAGGATAATGCTGGCCTTCTTAAAAAAGCTTGGAAGTCTTCCCTCCTCTTGAAGTTTTGGAATAGTTTGAAGAGGAGGTGTTAGTTCTTCTTTGAATGTTTGGTAAAACTCGCCTATGAAGCTGTCTGGTCCAGGACTTTGTTTGCTGGGTGTTTTTTGATCACTGCTTCAATGTCATTAGTTGTTACTAGTCTCTCAGGTTTTTTTGATTCTTTCTGATTGAGTTTTGAAAGATTTTATGTTTCTAGGAATTGATCTTTTGGCCAGGTTGTCCAATTTGTTGGCATATAGTTGTTCATAGTATTTACTTACAATTCTTTGTATTTCTGTGGTGTCAGTGGTTACTTCACCACTTTTGTTTCTGTTTTATTTATTTGGGTCCTCACTCATTGTTTCTTGATGAGTCTGGCTAAAGCAGGGGTCCTCAAACTACGGCCCGCGGGCCACATGCAAATACAAATATTGTATCTGTTCCCGTTTTGTTTTTTTTACTTCAAAATAAGATATGTGCAGTGTGCATAGGAATTTGTTCATAGTGTTTTTTTAAACTATAGTCCGGCCCTCCAGCGGTCTGAGGGACAGTGAACTGGCCCCCTGTTTAAAAAGTTTGAGGACCCCTGGGCTAAAGGTTCATCAATCTTGTTTATTTTTTCAAAAGAACCAGCTCTTGGTTTCTTTGATCTTTGTGTTTTTGTGTGTTGTTTTTTTTTTACAGAGAGGAAGAGAGAGGGACAGAGTTAGAAACATCGATGCAAGAGAAACATCGAGCAGCCGCCTCCTGCACACTCCCTACTGGGGATGTGCCGGCAACCAAGGTACATGCCCTTGACCGGAATCAAACCTGGGACCCTTGAGTCCGCAGGCCAACGCTCTATCCACTGAGCCAAACCGGTTAGGGCTGGTATTTTTTTTTTTTAGTCTCTATGTCATTTCTTTCTCTTTTTTTTATGATGATGAAAAACATATACAATTTTCCATCTTTTTTTCCCCACATTATAGTTCACATTCAATATTATTCTGTATTAGTTTCAGGTACACAACACAGTGGTTAGATCAGGGGTGGGCAAACTTTTTGACTCAAGGGCCACAATGGGTTCTTAAACTGGACCGGAGGGCCGGAACAAAAGCATGGATGGAGTGTTTGTGTGAACTAATATAAATTCAAAGTAAACATCATTACATAAAAGGGTACGGTCTTTTTTTTTCAATAGTTTTATTCATTTCAAACAGGCGGATCTGGCCTGCGGGCCGTAGTTTGCCCACGGCTGGGTTAGACAATCATATACTTTACCGAGTGGCCCCCTAATATTTCAAGTATCCTCCCCCCCGGCCCATACATAGCTATTACACTATTATTTTTTTCTTCCATTGACCTCTCTCCGGCCACTCCCACCCCCCCAGCAAATGCCCGCACCCCCTAGTGACCGTGTCCATTGGTAATACTCATGTGCATGCATACAAGTCCTTTGGTTGATCTCTTACCCCACTCCCTGCCTTCCCTCTGAGGTTTGACAGATCAATGCTTCTCTGTCTCTGGATCTATTTTTGTTCATCAGTTTATGTTGTTCACTATATATCACCAATGAGTGAGATCATGTGGTATTTATCTTTCTCCTATTGGCTTATTTGCTTAGCATAATGCTCTCGACTCATCCATGCTGTTGCAAATGGTAAGAATTCCTTCTTTTTTACAGCAGCATAGTATTCCATTATATAGATGTACCACAGATTTTTAATCCATTCGTCTGCTGATGGGCACTTAGGCTGTTCCCAAATCTTAGCTATGGTGAATTGTGCTGCTATGAACATGGGGGTGCATATATCCTTTCTGATTGGCGTTTCTGGTTTCTTGGGATATATTCCTAGAAGTGGGATCACTGGGTCAAATGGGAGTTTCATTTTTAGTTTTTTTGAGGAAACTCCATACTGTTCTCCACAGTGGCTGCACCAGTCTGCATTCCCACCAGCAGTGCACGAGGGTTCCCTTTTCTCCACATCCTCCCCAGCACTTGTTTGTTGATTTGTTGATGATAGCCATTCTGACAGGTGTGATGGTACCTCATTGTCATTTTGATTTGCATGTCTCAAATGATTAGTGACTTTGAGCATGTTTTCATATGTCTCTCGGCCTTCTGTATGTCCTCTTTCAGAAAGTGTCTATTTAGGTTCTTTGCCCATTTTTTTATTAGATTGTTTATCTTCCTTTTGTTAAGTTGTATGAGTTCCCTGTAAATTTTGGAGATTAAACCCTTAGCGGAGATAACATTGGCAAATATGTTCTCCCATGAAGTGGGCTTTCTTGTTTTGTCGATGATTTCTTCTGCTATGCAGAAGCTTTTCATTTTAATGTAATCTCAGTTGTTTATTTTCTCCTTAGTTTCTATTGCTCTAGGAGCTGTATTGGTAAATATATTGCTATGACAAATGTCTGATACTTTGCTGCCTGTGGATTCCTCTAATATTTTTATGGTTTCCCGTCTTACATTTAAGTCTTTTATACATTTTGAATTTATTTTTGTGTATGGTGTAAGTTGGCGATCTAGTTTCATTTTTTTTTTTTTTGCATGTATCTGTCCAATTTTCCCAACACCATTTATTGAAGAGACTGTCTAGAGCAGCCGTGGGCAAACTACGGCCCGCGGGCCGGATCCGGCCAGTTTGAAATGAATAAAAAGACCGTACCCTTTTATGTAATGATGTTTACTTTGAATTTATATTAGTTCACACAAACACTCCATCCATGCTTTAGTTCTGGCCCTCCGGTCCAGTTTAAGAACCCATTGTGGCCCTTGAGTCAAAAAGTTTGCCCACCCCTGGCCTAGAGACTGTCAAATATTAATTGAGCATACTGGCTTGGGTCAATTTCTGGGTTCTCTGTTCTGTTCCATTGGTCTATATGTCTGTTCTTGTGCCAGTACCAGGCAGTTTTGAGAACCGTGGTTTTGTAGTATAGCTTGATATCTGGTATTGAGATCTCTCCAACTTTGTTGTTCTTTCTCAGGATTGCTGCAGCTATTCGGGGTCTTTTTTTATTCCATGTGAATTTTTGGAGTTTGTTCTAGGTCTGTGAAATATTCTGTTGGTATTTTAATGGCGATTGCATTGAATCTATAGATTGCTTTGGGTAGTATGGACATTTTAATGATGTTGATTCTTCCAATCCATGAACACAGTATATTCTTCCATTTGTTTATGTCCGTCTCTTTTTTGTCAATGTTCTGTAGTTTTCTGAGTACAGGTCTTTTACCTCCTTAGTTAAGTTTATTCCTAGGCATCTTAATTTTGTTTGTTGTAATGGTAAATGGGATTGCTTTTTTAACTTCTCTTTCTGTAAGTTCATTATTGGTGTATAAAAAAGCCAGATTTCTGGGTGTTAATTTTGTATCCTGCTACATTGCTAAATTCATTTGTTAAGTCTAATAGTTTTTTGATGGAGTCTTTAGGGTTTTCTATGTACAATATCATGTCATCTGCAAATAATGTGTCATTTATTTCTGCCATTTATTTCTGCTCTAATTTCCTTCCTCCTTCTTACTCGTGGCTTGTTCTTTTGCGCGTTCTTTTAGTTGTAGGGTTAGATTGTTTATTTGAGACTTTTCTTGTTTCTTGAGGTAGACCTGTCATGTGATGAACGTCCCTTTCAGGAATCCTTTCATGGAGTCTCAGATTTTGGGTTGTGTGTTCTTTGCTAGAACACAACTGATCAAGTATAAATGACTGGCGTGTCCAGAAAATTTGCTGAATTGTAAAAACAACCTTGTGGTTGCTTTATCTCCTTCATGTGAAGATGCTTCCGTGAAAAGTACAGGGTACCCATCACCAGTGAGAAAACAAGGCTGCTTCCCACCACTCTGACTTCTAGAGGCTAACCCAGGGGAGGGGCTCAGCCCAGGGAACTGAAATCTACACCAGAGTCATCTAACCACAGCCCCCCAGGACACGTAGCATGCCGAGGGCACCCTACGGATGCGACAAAGACCAGCTTTGTCAGTGAGGACATCTGTGGCCCTTCCAGACTAGCCTTCAGTGTCCCGTCACGCATACGCATGTTCAGTGTCCTCCTTTCATTATGTAAATCATAACAGTCTGTCTTCCTAGCACAGTGGTTCTCAACCTTGGCTGCACATTAGAATCACCTGGGAATCTTTTTAAAATCCTGATTTCTGGGCCTCATCCTCCGGAAATTCTGTTTCTTTGTTACTGATGTTGTGGCCCCACCCCATAACAAAGAAACAGAATTTCCTGAGGATGAGGCCCAGAAATCAGGATTTTAAAAAAAGATTCCCAGGTGATTCTAATGTGCAGCCAAGGTTGAGAACCACTGCCTTAGCAGCTGAGCTGGAGAGCACTATAGGTCAGACCACAGCTGTCAATAATCACTAAAAAGCATAAAGCACTTTACAAATATAAAAGTGCTAGTTTGGCATTTGTAGAACCACCAGGAAACATTCACTGCTTGTGCTACTTGGCAGTTTTGCATTTACTCCTCTCCCTGCTTGTGCCCTCCTTGTATAAAGCCTGGAGCTTTCTACTGTGCCTTCGTGTAAAAAAAAAAAAAAAGTTTCTACTCTGACCAGAGCTCAGGTCAATAGGAGTGAAGGTGGGGGTTCCATGAGCTCCCCCATCACTACAGGGGAAGGGGGATACACAGATACAAAGCAAAGGCAAATGAGACAAAGGAACCTTGCCCCCCAAGATGTGAATTTTGCTTTCCTGTGTCCCTCACAGAAGGTCAGCAAAGCTCTTGAGCGGGCTGACTTTTGTAGCAGGTCACGGGGCCACTGTGATGGTCTGAGGTTCACTTGAAATAAGCACCCAGCTGACCCGGGAAAGGGAAAGGCGCCCAGAGCTGGGACGGTTCCATGTCCCTGCAGGTAGAAGGTCACGAGTGAGACCTGAAAGAAACACGGAGCCAGGCGCACACCTGGCCCTGGGGGCAGGGCCTGCTCACCACAGACCACCTTGGCCCAGCACGAAACCCGGACGTTTCAAAGGAAACAGCAAAGAACCAGATTCCCTAGATCTGAAAACCAGTTATGAGTGCATGTCTGAGTTTCACCTTTGAAGTGAGGGTGTGCAGCTTTTCTGCCCAGCTTCCCCTGGATGCCCCGAAACAGCAGCGAACTGTGGCTCAGAGACAGGAGAGCGTCCGGTATATCCTCCTGCAGGATGGCAGGGCTCCTCTGCTTTTCCTGGGACTCGAGCTGATGGAGGGCGGGGAGCAGGGCAAACGGTGGCTTCACACTGATGGGACCAGGATAATTATTCACACCCACCTTTTCTTTTACCCCATGACCCTCACTCCAACTACACCCTCTCCTGATTCCCTCAGAACATCGCAGCCCAACCTACTCTGTCTGCCACCCTGTTTCCCCACAACCTGAATCCCATTTCCTCAGGGTCCTCCAAGTGCCCGTTTAGCTCCTAGAGTGTTGGAGGGAGTCAGCACTCGTTCTAGATGGGTTTGCATTTTTAATTGCATTCTTTCGTGTCTGCATTCCCTCACGTAGCATGGTTTTTTATTTTATTTTTTTCAACCCTCACCTGAGGGTATTTTTCCACTGATTTTTAGGGAGTGGGAGACAGGAGGGGGAGAGAGACACATCCATTGGTTGCCTCCTGCACACACCCGGACAGGGGCCAGGAACCTGCAACCTAGGTACGTGCCCTTCACCAGGAATCAAGATCCGCAGGCCGACACTCTGAACCACCCAGCTGGGCAGGGCGTTTCTGATGTCCTCACTGACAAAGCTGGTCCCTGTCACAGAAGTATAGTGTCCTCGGTATGTTACCTTTCTACTAGGGGCTGTAGTTAGAGGACTCTTCAATAGCATGATTTCAAAATCTATCCGTCTTACTACATGCATATTAGTACATCCATACACTACATCAACAGTTCATGCCTTCTTATTGCGGAGTAGTATTCCTTTGTATGGGTGTGTTGTGCCTGTATATACACTGAGTGGCCAGATTACTACAACCACCCCATCAATACAATGAAGTGAATTAGTTATGCAAATAATAAAACCTTGAGAGTATTTGCTTACTAAGTTTTCAATATTTTGGAAGTGTCAATAAAGTACTGGTGGGGTGGTCATAATAATCTGGCCACTCAGTGTATATTCACCTTTTAATAGACATCTGAGTAGTTCCCAGGTTTTGGCTGTTATGAATAAAGCTATTAATGGATATTCAATTACAGATTGTTGTGTGAGCATATAGTATAAATACTTGGGAGTGGAAGGGCTATTCGTGATTGGTATGTTTGATTCAGCTTTTCCAAGTGCTTGTACCATTGTTCATACCATAAGAGGAGACCTCTAGTTGCTGTACATCCTCAGCACATGTGGACTTTTCAGGTTACCTTAGCCATGGTAATGGATGTGATGGTAACTCACTGCAGTATTCATTTGTTTCCCTGAGGACTGAGGCAAGCATCTTTTCATGGGCTTTTGGTCATTTATATATCTTCCTTTGACCAATTCTAATACTGCATTCTTATCAGAAAAAAACAGGTGTAAGATCAGTACACTGAAAATCACAGAACACTATTTTGAGAAAATTAAAGAACTAAATAGATAAAACTTCTTGTGGGTTGGAAGACTCAATATGGTTTAGATGTCAATTCTTCCCAAACTGGTCAAAAGATCTAATACAATCCAAAATTCCAGCACGTATTTGGTATTTATAAGCTGATTCTAAATTTTATATGGCCCTGGTTTGTGTGGCTCAGCTGACTGAGTGTTGACAGATGCACCAAAAGGTCCCTGGTTCGATTCCTGGTGAGGGCACATATTCAGGTTTTGGGTTCAATCCCGTCAGGTGTGCACAGGAGGCAGCCGATCGAAGATAATCAGTACAAACATAAATGCAAATGATCTTAAATTATCAAAGCAACTTTATGGCGCTATTTTTATAAATTTTATTTTTTTATCCCCCCAAAATACATATAAATGGAAACCTGCTCTTCAAATGCAGGGGAAGGCCTCTGCCTATAATTTAGTATTACATCATAAAACATTCTGATATAAAAATAAGTATGCAGCTCTTACACACTATACATATACACAATATATTTGTAAGTAGTTATGAACTTTCTACTTAGACATATCCCTTTAGTAGAAAGTTAGAAAACTGGGCAATTCCCATGCTTTCCAGCCCTGGGAAGATAAATATAAATATAACCTCTGATTTTTTTTTTTAAAGATGAAACAAGTAAATGACAACTTATTTAGACATGTACATTAGAGTACAGCAAGGACAGTGCCAAGTAAATGACAGCGTGTTTCTCGAAGAGATAAAATTGGAATAAAAATGCAAAGTTGAACAGGTAAGATGACTCACACCCATCCCAGCCTCCCGTGACGTCAGCACCCGCTGGCAGCAGTCGCGATCTTCCTGTAGTCACCTGCCTAAGCAGGCTCCATAAGGCATCTGTTTAAGTCCAACAGTCAGTAATAAGGGCAATGAGAAATCCCCATTCCCCCAAAAAGAAGTGTAAAATCTACTTCTGTGACTCAAGAGTTCAGCCAGGTCAAAGCTCTGATGAAAGGCCATTTGTCAATTTCTTTTCCTAAACAGTCCCAACTCCCTGCCATGTAGACACACATTATACATACAGGGCACTAATCACCCAGAAGCCAGCCAGGAGTCTCAGCTCGACTGCACTTTAGTTAGAAACAACTAATTTGTTGAGAAGGGTAAGTAGTTCGCAAGTAGGGTATTTCCATAGACAGAAATAATCTGTAAGTTAGTTTAAGGAGGCCGCTCTAGGTCAGTTCCATGGTCCTTTCAGCTCTCCATGACCCTGCATTTGTGGGCAGAGGACATTCAACTGTGCACCTGTCTCAGCCGGAGAACGCAGGGTCACAAATCTGCCAGGGCAGAAATGAGATACTCTTGAAATGTTACCTCTAGAGAAACACACACCTCGTTAAAAAATTTCTTTGCCTTCTGCTAGATTGTAAGGGGACCAGCTCCTGAAAGGCCCAACCTTCGAGGCACAGAAAAGATTTTAAACGACTCATCGGTCAAGTCCAAGCAATGGAGCCCACAGGCAAAGCAGGGCCACGTCCTGGGATCCTCGGCAGCACGGTAAGCTCTTACTTGGCTCCTTGTAAGCTGACGTGGCCTCTAATGCTGCTTAGTTCAGAAGTCCTTTTTAAAAGTAGAAAAAGCACCACATTTCAGTTCTAGGTCAGTGTTAAAATCAGCTTCTCCCTCTTTTTCCTCTTCCTCTTCTTCTCTTCCAAGTGGCTGGTTGCATCAGCGAAAAACATAACTTCACTTTTTGCCTCGCACTCCCTCTTGAGATAGTTAAGACCCGCCAGGTTGAAGCCGATAACATCCTGAGGTAGAAGACAGAAAGGTGGAACTTGTCTCACGTGAGCTCAGTACCTTAAGAATCAGCTTATGTGAGTCAGGGGCCAGTAAGCCTCAGGCCCTGTGTTCCTATTCCCACCAGCTCCACCGCCAAGCTAACCTCAAAATACAGATCACGTCTGGCCAATACCCCCCAAGACGGGCACAGCGCCCCGGGCTCCTTCTAAGTCACACACTAGGGCAGGAGTCCTCAAACTACGGCCCGCGGGCCACATGCAAATATTGTATTTGTTCTTTTACTCCAAAATAAGGTATGTGCAGTGTGCATAGGAATTTGTTCATAGTTTTTTTTAAACTATAGTCCGGCCCTCCAATGGTCTGAGGGACAGTGAACTGGCCCCCTGTTTAAAAAGTTTGAGGACCCCTGCATTAGGGTCTCCCCCTCACTGCTGTAGCTCTCCAACATACTTACCCGGACTTGGCTGACTTTTGAAATAGTTGTTTCCTTTAATTTTTCGATCACTGGCACAAGCATTTGGTTGCTAGTGATCTGTCCAAAGTGAATCCTAATAGAAAAAGAAAACAGCCATATTTTGAAGAGAGGTAGTGGGCTGGCTCTACTTGCCCCTTCCACAAATAGCAAACAGACACAATAGCAAAGCAAAAACACTTGTTACGGCATCATGGGAATAGAGACGTTTCTAGTAAAAAGGGGAAAGGACTTTCTCCCCCACTATTCAGTTCTATCTGATAACAGTTTAAAGACACTGTGCCAGACCCTAGCACAGGTTCAAACTCAGACCTGGAGGACCCAGACACCTTGATGAGCACAGGCTCCGTCACCCCGACTCACCCTCGCCTTCGACTGGGACCTGCCATCTCTACCTGTGAGGTAACTGGTACCCACCTACAACCCTCGGATATGCTGGCATTCAGGGTGTTTCTTTTAGGAAGAGTAATCCTGATTCAACAGCTCATATGCCACAGCAACAAGAAATTATTAGTAATACTGTTAAGTCCTTACAATTTGCCCCAAATTCTAAATATGGCAACAGAACAATGTAAATATATTGTTCTTTCACTAACATCCAAATAGAAAAAGGATGGAGGGCTAAGAATCATGAAAACAGGCCAATTCACCAACTTCACTAAACATACCTGTTTCTTTGAACTACTTGGTACTGGCTGACCAGTTTTTGCCCTCCTAACAGCATTTTAAGGAATGTCCAATTTGTCTCTTCATGTTCTCTGTTCTATCAGCTTGAAACAGAGGGGCAGAGAGTGGGAGATAGAGTAATACATTCTTAAGCCTTTGTAAATAGTCCTCTCAATTACATATGAATAAGAATTCTTCATGTTTGAGAATATAATCTAATGAACATATTTTCCGATGCAGTTTCTTTTATATGTGCCCTCCTGTTGCACCTGTGCCTCTACAGGCCTGGGAAATAATCCACTATTCTTGCAAGGCTGTCAGGAGGACAAGGCAAAACCATTAGCTTACAAATGAGGCAAACTGCTTACACCCAGGCTGTTGGCCTGCAGCCTGGGGACTGGCGCCTGACGAAGCATTCCTGAGCACTGTTAACCTCATAGTACTTGTTTTAAGGGCAAAACTGATTCTGACTATTCAGGAGTAATTCACGCCAGGCCGCACTGAAGTTCTGTGACAGTCCCTGAAACCGAAACATCGGTTTCTTCATCCCAAAGTGGTGACAGCTTCAGTGAAGGTTCCACTGGAGCAGCTGTGCTGGGAAGACGGGGTCTGTCCTGGAAAAGGAGTTACCTGAGGAGGAAGAAGAGGCACCTACACAGAAGTTCCACGTCAGAGCCCAGCTGGATGAACTCATTGAAGAGTCTCAGGATGTCCGGGACGTAGGAGAAAGGCAGCACCAGCAGGGACTCTTCCAGCTCACTGGGGAGAAAGCGTCCGTCAGCGCAGCCATCTTACAGCTTCCTCGGCTGTTTTTCCTACTGCTTTTACTGAACAGACCTTACCCATTTAGAGTGAAATGCAATATTCTAGATGGTTCTCTTTTCAATGTTTTGTTTTTTATATTTAATACTTTAATCTATTGGATGCATTTTGGTCCATGGCACAGCAGGAGACCCTTTTTATTCTTCTAGAAACCAATTTCTCCAAAGCCTATTGTTGACTATTCCATCTTTATTGAGTCCTTATAATAGTCTGTTTGAGGCCTTCCGAGTCTGTTTTGATGATCAATTGATTCTGACAACAACCCTGTACTATTTAAATGTTGCCAATTAACAGGTTTTTGTTTGTACGTTTTTAAATCTAGGGGAATAGCTCCCCCTTGTTGCTCTGATTTCATTTGTTTTTCTTTTCTTGAACTAATTCTAGCATCATTTCAGCAATTCCAAGAGGATTTCAAATGGAATCACAAAACTGTAAGTTAAAGAAAAAACCTTTAAAACACAGACTCTTCCCACCTAGGAATGCACTGCACCTCCATGAATCTAAGCTCCTGTTACATGTCTCTAGTGAAGGATCCTGTTTGCTACTTTTAAGAGACATTTAGATATTGTAGCTCAAGCTCACAAGTAAAATCAAAAGGAAAGTCACAAATAAGAAACATTATTCCAAAAATATACGACAAAATACACAAAACAGTATGCAAGATGGTTCTAACTGTGTCCGTGCACAGGAAATAAGCCAAAGCAGCACACTACAAAGAATGTTAGCTGCTGCTATGACTGAATTACAGAGATCAAGCATGTCAAACTCAAAGGCTAACACAGGCCAAATAAACGAAGCATGCGGCCTGTGAGTTTGACATGCTTGATATAGATAATTTCATTACCTAAAATATAAAGTAATACTACCCTTCATTTCTCCTTAAAAGTAGAGCCTCTTACCTCTACTTCAAAAAGAACATTATAATAAATTATTTTCCCTCAAAATTTTGACACCGTTAACCCTATAAGGATGCTGGATCAATTGTAATTTCTCCTTATCTCATGTTTAGATACACACTCAATAAATGTTAGCTGACCAGTGATAATAACTGTGCACTGAGACGCACCTTGACTTGATTCCTTTAAAAATCTCCAACACGTAAGCTGAAGGCTACAAAGGAAGGACAAAGGCATTAGTGACAGTCTTGACTGGTTTCTACTGAATCTCTAATTTCCTAAAATCCAGGATCCTCTCTCACGAGACAGTGTACTGAAGTGGCAAGACGTGCATGGACCCAGTGTTAGTGAGCTCTGGGCTCACGATCCAGCTCTGCCACTTACCAACTACGTCACCTGTAACTCTACGTCAGGCCAGTTTCCTGTCTGTAAAAGGAAGATGCCCTGACTCACATGACTGTTGGGAGGAATGAGACGTGCAAGTCACATTCTAAGGAACTGGAGACTGTTGGTAGTTGCACTGCACATTACTCTCCCTCTCTCTCCTGTATCTGATTGATGCTAACTTCTCCTCCCACACCTTTCATTTCAAAGTTCATTTAGATGAACAGAATCTTCAGAGGGCTTTGGACACGAAACATGGATAAGCACTAGAAAACTAAGAATGCCAGGCCAGCCCAACCAAAAAGGATGACCTGGAAGTTACACTAAATTGGTCCTTTACAAATTCACAATAGAGGACACCACCCTTCAGGAGGGATTTGTAATGACAAAGTACTACCTCCTCCCTCACCTCTGACTGACCAAGGGGAAACTTAGGCGTACTCACAGAGATATTGCCGTAAGCCATCAGGATGGGGTTGGTGGGGAGAGGAACCTGTGAAGAAATTAATAAATCCAGTCATTAAAAAAATGAGACTTTGAAAGTGCTTGTCACGGACAGGGAGGTACTAGTATTTTACATTTTAAAAAGAGACAAGACCGACCCCCAAAAAGAAAGAGTGAGTGTAAAGAACCATCAGGCCTTTCAGTTTCAATACTGAGTTTGGGCAACAGGTTTCACCAGAAATCGGACATGGTTACCCTGCCTCCGAACCAAAGTAGGAGTGTGAGTGTCTACTCAATACAATAATCTCACTTTGCTCTCCTTCCCGTTTATTAAGACCAGGCTTCCCCCACCCCCCACTTCCTCAATTCGCTCTTTCTAATGTTTGAATGAGAACGAATTCTACTACGTTTCTCTCATGTCCTGACCTGAGTTAGTAAGTCCTGACCAATGGTTTTCCTCTCAGGAATTCTCTATAAATGTCTCCCAGAGCGTACCGTCATGGGCTATCTTACCTCTTTCCCTGCAGCTTTACAGATGGCTTTGTGTTCTTTCATTTTTGCAGTTTCTTCTCGGTATAGTTCAACTGCCTCCATGATCCTCTCAGCCTACACAGACGAGGACAAAGGACAGACGTCACCGGGACACACTCCATCCCAGAACACTGTGCCCGGAGGGCCCGATGGGAAAATCACCAAAGCGCTTGACCCAGTTTAATAAAGATGTGCCAAGAGAGTGGCAAACTGCATGCAAAGGCATCCTTGGTTCTTTTTATTTCTAGGGAGGGACTAAGTGTCCTGGCTTCCGGTAAGAATGGAGGTGGGCACCTGGGTAGGGCAGCCCCAGGAACAGGTCTACTGAAGGTGCTACTTTCAGGAGACCAAGCTTTCCTTTCTAGAAGGCAAACAGGTGCAGCAACCCGTGTCCTTCTTACAAAGAAGGAAAATGGGTTTTGATCTCCCTATAAATTTAATCAATCTTTTTTTTTTGCCACAAAAGACTATTTGGTTGATAAAGACTTTTACTAAAGAGTCCAGATCCTATGAAAAAATGAGGTACTACATTCTATATCAACTTACTGCTTTGACTGTTTCAATAGTTTTCTTTCCAGTAAAGTAATTTTCTCCTTGAGTCTCCCCTGGAACCTGCCAGAAAACAGAGAGATCCTTGAATAATACTGTTGACAAGCATTAAAGAGCCAATGAGCCAGTAAGTTAACCTACTGTCCCTAAAAGAACAGGCACCATGGTTTCAGAATAACAACACTGGTCATCAGCTACACTCACTGAGGACTGAGAAAGGGCCAGACACCATGTTGAGTATTTTATATGTATTATCATAAGAATATTTTTCTCTACAAATGTTTTAAAATAACACCCAGCTTCTCAATTTTTCCCGATTTTAATTTTGTTCTAGTGAAATTCCCTGAAGTCTCCTTAAAAAAAAAAAAAAAAAAAAAAAAAAAAAAGCCAGAATACAGTTGACTGAAAGGACTACGCATAATCTGTCTCACCTCAGCTGGTGATGACCTTGGCATCTGCCCCAGTTGTAACTCCCTCAGAAATTCTTGAAATTAGGCTAAATTCTAATAAGGTAATTACAGGCACAATCCCAGGATCCCAAGTTTACTTACTGCTGGCTGGTCTTCTTTGGCCACACTCTCCTCATATTCCGCTTCCCTTTGCTGCCAAGAGAGAGACAGAAATTAATCTGAAGGAAGAAACATGGTCTCTATGCAAAATGAAATGAGAAGGAGACAGCAAAGAGCTGCTGCTTTGAAGTCTAGTCCCTGTGGCCTCGCCTCTGCCCGGCTGCTGAACGGTGGCAGTTGTCGTGGGAACATGCCCCATCTCAGGTGTCCTTGGACTTGCACTGCCTGAGGGGTGCCTAAACCAGACAGAGAACTTGGGATAGTGTGTCAGACACCCACCAGCGCATTTGTAACCAGGCCCAAGTCCTTACCATTTCCCTCTCCTCCTCAAGAATAAGAGGCTCCCTTGTTCTCTCCCAAAGTCTCAGAGATTTGTCATGGGATGATGACACGACATAGTCTCCATTGGGGCTTACAGCCAAGCACCATATCTCCTGGTGGTGCCCCTGGAGAGAGGAAAAACAAACCCCAACCGGCAGTCAGAATGTTACTCACAGATGGCTACCTGCTCACATTAGGGGAGCCAGCACGCAGGCGGATTACCTCCAGAGTCTGTATGTGCTCAAAGTTGTCCGCATCCCACTGCTTGATCTTCCGGTCTTTCCCGGCGGTGAAGAAGAGGTGAGACTTGGGGACAAACTGTAGGTACATCACACTGAAAGGCGAGAAGAGTATTCAAATGTCATCCAAGTCCACATTAGTAAGAGTCTTACATACTTCAATAGCTTTTGAATAGCTAGTTCTAGAGTGTCTTGCTTATACTTTAGAATTTTAAATGTATGACGATCTGAGACACTAAACACAGACACATGCTCAAGGGAGATGGTACAGGCGACTGAGAGGGAGTCTCTGAAAAGACTGCGCCCACCTGTCGTCGTGAGCAAAGAGAGACTTGTGGCAGTCCCCGAAGTCCAAACCCCAGATTTTCACATTCCTGTCGGCAGACCCGGTTGCTATCAGTGCTCCGTCCTACGAGGAAGAGAGGAAACACATCGCTTCACTTGATTATCCGACTCTGAAAAGTAGAGAAAGACAAGCTACCAGAACACTTAACCCAATCTCCCCAAAACATGAAAATCAATGCCAAGAAAGCACCCCCATTTCTCTACCAAGAGCACCTACTTTGCCTTTATCCGCAAACCTACTTAAAAGCTTGTCAAGCAAAAGCTTCAATGTTTCTGCACGGCCACAGGGCCGTGTTGTGCCTTCATGGAGATTGTCTATTGACCTGTTAAGTAGGTAGGAAAAAGAACCTCTAATCTGCTACAGAATTTGGGCAAAGAGAGGGAGAGGTAGAGAGAAGGAAAGAACAAGAGAAGAATCTCCTAGAATGTTGGGACCTCGCCTTTTGTCCCATGTTCCTTATCACATTTCTCTCTCCTCTTCCTATTTCAATGCCTAGTTCAAATGGCTGTTAACAAGAAAATCGGAAATCTTTTTCAGCACCAACTTGTTCTGTTAACTCGCTGATCACTCAAGCACAGGCCCACGCCTTTCATACCGACTGGACGTTGTTTTTAAGTATATATCGCCACCCCTAATCACAACTAGACATTGCAGATAGGATTTTGGTCAAGAGACTAAGTTTACAGAGTGGAAAATACCTGGATATCCACATAAGAAAGCTAAGGCCCATCTTCCTTACCTGCTTTCAAAGCAAAGGGGGTGTCTTTTTAAAGTCTTTCATATGTTAGGGTGCTCTATCAATTATAGTATTTTACACAAAATATTATTTGAGGAATCTACAACAGGGAGCTAGTTATGAGGATTAATTTGTGAAAATGTTCTGAAAACATTAAGTATCATATATAAATAATAATAATAATAATAATAAAAAATATATATATAATTTTGCTTTTGGGTCGGGGGGAGATATACGACAGAATGAAAAAATAAATATTCTAAAATGACCTATCAAGCCAAGAACTAAGAAAATGCTTTAGAAAAATAACTTGTTACTGAGATACTATTTAAATTTTACTTACATAAGAGATGTCCATGCATATAACAGGCAGTTTGTGTCCATACAGTGAGAGAAAAAACTAAACATAAAAAAGAATATAAATAATTCATGTTTGTCTATAAAATACAGGCATAATTTATTACGTTAATCTAAAATATAACTTCAAAATCCAATGCTAACACTGTCTGGGTCACTTTGTGTGTTTATTCTCAAAAGCAAACCCCTGCTGGCAGCCGCACCCGTCTCGCTTCATACCCAGCATGCCCTTGCCAAGGACCGGGCAGCCCAGTGGAGCGTGAGGCCCGGAAGCCTCCTGCCTCCCTTGCACACAGCAGAGACGGTCTCTGGATCGCTCAGCTGGAGAGACCCCGGGGCACTTACTTCACATCATTCCCAGGTTCAACGCAGTCCCACCAACCCTGCGGGTAGGGCTCTGCGGGTAGGGCCCAGTAAACTGTATTGTTAAAGCAACACAAAGACCCTGATATAAAGCCAAGTGTGGAATCACTGCCCAGGACACCCAGCAACGCCCCTGAAAACTACTGGCTAGGACAGGATTTTCTGAACATATGCAATCTAACTTGCTTTAAACAAAAGCTATAAACAAGAAGACTCTTCTAAAACTCTTTTGGCTTTCCTAGGGCACCTACAATGTTCGATCCACATACAAGTTTTTAGAAATATGCTCCTGCTGGGCACTCAAGGGCACTTCTTTTTCTTTTTTCTTTTTTTTTTTTTAAATATATTTCTTTATTGATTTCAGAGAGGAAGGGAGAAAGAGAGATAGAAATATCAATGATGAGAGAGGATCATTGATTGGCTGCCTCCTGCACACCCCCTACTGGGGATGGAGCCTGCAACCCAGGCATGTGCCCTTGGCCGGAATCGAACCTGGGACCCTTCAGTCCGCAGGCCAATGCTCTATCCACTGAGCCAAGCCGGTTAGGGCTTCTTTTTCTTTTTTAAAATATATTTTTATTGATTTCAGAGAGGAAGGGAGGAGGTAAACATCAATGATAAAAGTCATTGATTGGTTGCCTCCTGCACGCCTCCCACTGGGGCTCGAGCCTGCAACCCAGGTATGTGCCCTGACTGGGAATAGAACCATGACCTCCTGGTTCATAGGTCAACGCTCAACCACTGAGCAATACTGGCCGGGCACAAGGCCACATTTTTTAAAATATATATATTGATTTTTCAGAGAGAGGAAGAGAGAGGGATAGTTAGAAACATTGATGAGAGAGAAACATCGATCAGCTGCCTCCTGCACACCCCCTTACTAGGGATATGCCCGCAACCAAGGGCCTGGAATCGAACCTGGGACCCTTCAGTTCGCAGGCTGATGCTCTATCCACCGAGTCAAACTGGTCAGGGCACAAGGCCACCTCCTTACGATCTCCACCCAGGCCAGTCAGAAAGGAAGGAAGGCATGACCACGGTACCTTTAAGGTGTCGACATAGAAAATCTTCACAGTGCAGTCCAGCAAAGACACCGCCAACAGGTTCTGATGGGGTGAGTACCTGACACTCAGAACTTCTTCATCCAGCTGCAGGGTTCGGGTTTGCTTCACAGAAAGCCTAGCATCACAGAAATCATCCAGAAAAAAACACTGAGTACCTTACAAAGGCAGATGAAAGTGCCAAAAAACTCTGGAGCTCAACAGAAATACTCAAAAGTCCATTCAGTGAGTCCCCACTTTCAGTCCAAGAAATGGAGGAAAATAAAAAATGTCTACTCACCTCTTCTGGGTACTATTTTCATCTTTCACCAACTCAAAATCCCAGAACTTGACAGACTTATCTGCACCACCTGTCACAAAGCCACGCTGAAAACCAAATGACATCCCAATTAGAATTTTAGCACAGAAACCTGGATAAGATACCAAAATAGTATAAAGACCATTTGTCTTCAATGGCATGAGATAAGAACTAAACGTGGTTTCTAACTCCTTCACTCTCTTTAGGGGCTGCTGCTTCAGACCATATTTGAGAATTCCTAGTGACACAAATGACAGAGGACAACTAGTGGAAAGTCCTAGTTATACTTCCGTTCGGCATCAGGAGGAAAGACACAGTGAGCGTTGGG